CGCGCCCCACGAGACTCGACCACGACGGCGCACCGCTGCGTGCAGCTGCGCTCTCGGACGCCTCGGACGACTCGCCGCTCGCACGCTGCGGCTCCGAGATCGAGGCGGCTTGCAGCAGACCGCCTGTCGGCGTCGAGGCTCCCATCGCGATCGGACCACTGACGATCCGGCTTCCGATGCCCGACTCGGGACGCGATCCGGCTCCCGACGATCCCGTCCAGTTGCTGCGGTGCGACATGGACTTGATCGTCGACAAGAAGCCCGAGGTGCGCGACGAAGATTCTCCCGCAGCCGAACCAGGTCGCGCCGGCGAGCCGGTCGCGAACGGAGGCGGCGATGCTGGCGGCACCATGGAGTTCTTGGCCGCCGCACCCGCCGCAGTCGCAGGCAAGATAGGCTGCAGCGACACCTCCTTGGTGAGCTTGAGGTAGCGGTCGTAAGCATCCTCCATGCGGTCTTCCTCGGTCGCCTCGGCGGTGTTGTCGACAGTCTGCGTTGGTGCGGCGCTCGAGGCAGCGTCGGTGGGAAGCGCAGGGAGGTCGCGGCTCGGTCGCTTCTTGGGTCGGCTCGGCGGCTTGCGACGCTCGGGCTCCTCTGGCTTGGATGGGCGCTTGGCCGTGCGCGAGCGCGAGAGCATCATCAGCTCGTCGAGATTCTTGTGTCGCTTCTGTCCCGGAGGCGGAGGCGGGCGTCGCCCTGCTTTGGTAGGCGTGCGCTTGACCGAGTCGTCTGCCTGGGAAGCACCCACCTGCTGGCTCTGGTCCGCGCCGTTTGCAGCATCGGCGGCTAAATCGTCGGCCTTGACAAGCACCCCCGCCGCTTCGAGCACGCGCAGCCTCTCGATGGTATGCTGGCGGATTTCGGCTTCGGTCTGCGGCGCCACTTGGTCCTCCGCATTTACGGTTGCACTGCGATCTTCTTGATCTTCATCGTCATCGTCGTCACTCGAGGTCCATCCTGTTGTGGAATCGGTGTCTTCCGAGTCGGAAGCTTGACCCTCCGTGCCAACGCCAGATCGAGTCGCAGCCGAGCTTTCCGCATCGATGGTGCCGAGCGCATAAGCGACCGCTTCCATCTTGGATGCTTCGATGGCCTTTTGCACCTGACGATCCTCGCGCATGCGCGCGATCTTTGTCTCGCGGTCCTCGGCAGCCGATGCTGCCAGCGCAGCAGCCAGCTGTGCTTCTTCGTCCGCCTCGTCCACGGCGGCGCTTGTTGCCTGAGCTGCGGACGGACCGGCGCGGGTTGGCGTGCTGAGATCGGCGTCCACATTGAGCTTGGACGAGCTGGGGCTTTTGGTGTCGGCATCCACCACCACCCAGGCGGACTTGGAGTCGGTGCTGGTGGGCTCGGACTGCTGCGAGTGCGCGCGCACCATGACGCCCGAGCCCGTATCGCTGTCCTCCTGCGCGTGTCCTGCGGGTCGGCCTGCATCGAGTGGTGTTTGCCGTGCGTTCGCACCTTGCCCGTCAACCGGAGTCGACCCTGTACGCGTGCGAAGCGCGAAGAGCGGACAGAAACGATAAAAAGGTCTGTCTCAGCACACTGCCTCTCCATAACCGCTCACGCTCATGACGAACCCGGATCAAGACGCTGAGCGACCTCCACGAAGCTGTCCCTGCAAGGAGGCTGCGGCAAGGAGGCTGCAGACAAGGCGGGCCAAGGCGCCCAGGATCACAAGGAACCCGCACAGCTGGCCCGCCTTTTCCACGGCCTCCCGGCCTGGTAGTCATACGAGGCAAAAGGCGCGAGGCAAAGTGCGGAACGGTACGAGATTCTATTGAGATCGACCCTGGGACACGATGGCGAGGGCCTGCACTTGGGCAACAGGGGAAGAAAGGAACGCAAGGGAAGTCCGAACCAAAATGAGAAGATGGGAGGGGACCACACTAACCAGAAAGCTCCAGGTACGTGGCGGGTGCGACGAGGATCTTTGCGCCGCCGACGTCGACGCGCCACCAGTTGGCATCCTCCTGATCGACGATGAGCAGCTCGTCGCCCTCGGCAAATGTAGCTTCTTCCGCCGAAGCGCCCGAGTAGTCGTACAGAGCCTTGGCCTTGACAGCTGATGAGCAGGGAGATGTCAGGTCAGTCTTTAAATCTAGTCACAAGTCGCGCCAATCCCGGAATCTACATACGCTTGTCAATCGGCTCGACGTACGAGCGCGGGAAGAATCCTTTCTTGGACCCGCTAGCGAGCGAGCCGTACCACCAGTCGCTGCTGGCATCCTTGGGCGGGTGTGCCGAGAGGACGTCGTTCTCCTCAAAAGTGAGGTCCTCGTCGCGCTGACCCGAGTAGCCGTACAGCGTACGCACGCGGACAGAGCGAGTCAGGTCAAAGCCCTCGACCTCGTCGTTGCCCGAGGCTGCATGGCCATTGGCAGGCTTGCGGGCGTCGAGGTCCTCCGGTCCCTCGTCCTCGTCGCCGCTGTCCTCTTCGGCCTCTTCGCGCACCGAAGGCTCGTCCGGAACGAACGCAGCCGCCTTGGTGTTGGCCTGGTCGTTGGCGAGACTGTTGGCCCAGTCGACGCTCTGTCGGTTCGGGTTGGCAGCGGCAAGCTCGCTGGCGCCAAAGTCCGAGTCGAAGTTGTCGGGCATGGGCGGGGCTGGAGGCGCAGGCGGCGCCGGAGGCGGCGGGGGAGGAGCATCCGCAGCCTCGTCGATCGAGCGCTCTGCAACGGCCGACGAGACCTGCGGAGCCGCAGGTGGGCTCGGCGGCGGCACGTACGTCTGGACCGGGGGCGTAGCATCGCCAATGACACTACCGGTGACAAGCGCCTTGGAGCGGTCGTTGGTCTGCGCCTTTTTGAGCCTGAGACCACCCTGGATCTGGCCGAGCAGAGCACCGCGATCGACAGGCCCCTCGGCTGGCTTGATGACAGGCGCTTTCGGAGCAGCAGGCGCGGCAGGCGCGACAGGTGCAGCCGGAGCAGCGGGTGCGGCAGGGGGCGCAGGAGGAGCCGCTGGAGCCGATGCGGGCGGGGTGGAGCGGCCGCTGCTGGGGATGAGGTTGCTGAAGAGCGCCTGAGCCAGATTCTGGCGCGTTGCGCGCGTGCTGGACCCAG